AATCTATATGCAGTTTTATAAATCAGGACCTCCTATCAGAAGAGAGGGGCAGATTGGACCCTAATCCTTCAGAAATGTAGCATTTGGCATGGCACATGTTTAATGGGTCACATCTTGACATATCTTCATCCTTAAATCACCGTGACAGCTTGAATTGTTTTAGAGTTTCTCAAGAACACAGCCAGGTGATGTTTAATTGTTAGAAGGGGAAAAAAGATCAGAAAAGAGGAAGGGGGACCCTGGGTAAATAAGAGCTTTCAAGTTTGACTTATGTCAAAAATGAAATGCAAAGATACAGGATAGGGGACATGTGGCTCGAGAACAGTATATGTGAAAAAGATCTTGGGGTCCTTGTGGACAACAAGTTAAACATGAGCTGGCAATGTGATACGGCGGCAAAAAAAAAAGCCAATGGGATGTTGGCCTGCATCAATAGGAGTCTAGTGCCTAGATCCAGGGAAGTCATGCTCCCCGTGCTCTATTCCGCCTTGGTTAGACCACTTGGTCCATTTCTGGGCACCACAGTTGAAGAGAGATATTGACAAGCTGGAATGTGTCCAGAGGAGGGCGACTAAAATGATCAAGGGTCTGGAGAACAAGCCCTATGAGGAGCGGCTTAAAGAGCTGGGCATGTTTAGCTTGAAGAAGAGAGGGCTGAGAGGAAACATGATGATGTCCACGTATAAATATGTGAGAGGAAGTCACAGGGAGGACTAGGATGCGGAACAATGGCTTCAAATTACAAGAAAGGAGATTCCATCTGAACATGAGGAAGAACTTCCTGACTATGAGAGACATTCAGCAGTGGAACTCTCTGCCTCAGAGAGTGGTAGAGGCTCCTTCTTTGGAAGCTTTTAAACAGAGGCTGGATAGTCATCTGTCGGGGGTGCTTTGAATGCAATTTTCCTGCTTCTTGACAGAATGGGGTTGGACTGGATGGCCCATGAGGTCTCTTCCAACTCTATGATTCTATGATTCAAATCAGGGACATCTCTGGCCCATCCTCTGTTTGGATATCAGCCAGCAAGGAAATGCCTTAAATCAAGAAATAGCTTACTAAGATCTACAGAGATACTCACAGGGATACCTCAGCAAGCAAGAGTCAAAAAGTGGCAGACTAAAACCCAGAGCCTCGATCCATGGCTGATACCAAATGAGAACCCCCCCCCCCCCAGGGCATACGGAGGACTGGGCGACTTGGAAGGCGCTGAACAGAATGCGCTCTGGCACCACGAGATGCTGAGCCAACCTTAAGAAATGGGGCTACAAAGTAGAATCCATGACATGCGAGTGTGGAGAAGAGCAAACCACTGACCACCTGCTGCAATGCAACCTGAGACCTGCTACATGCACAATGGAGGACCTTCTTGCAGTAACACCAGAGGCACTCCCAAGGGGCCAGCTACTGGTCAAAGGACATTTAATCAACTACCAAGCTTGCAAACTTTGTGTTTCGTTTGTTTGTTAAAAAATGCAATGCAACTGTCTGGTTTGCCCCTGACACGATAAATAAATAAATAAATAAATAGGAAATGACATTTCTAACCCAGTAACAAAAATCGTGTTACATGAGGTAATATTACAGCACTCTGCACCCAAATTACATTTGCCCTTTTTTACAGATAAGACCAAATAGATACTCCTATGTCTTCTTTATAATGCAGTGCTGCTCACTTGCAAATATATTTGGATTCAGCTGAGTGCATGTTATATCTTTAGAGTTCAAAAGTTTTTAGCACATGTTTTAGCCAAAAGGACATTTAATCAACTAGCAAGCTTGCAAACTTTGTGTTTTGTGTTTGTTTGTTTGTTTTGTTAAAAATGTAATACAACTGTTTGGTCTGCTCCTGACACAATAAATAAAAAATAAATACCGTGGCCGGCATGGAGTTGGCTCCGCCTCCGCCCTCCATCCCAGCTGCCGCAGGAGCCAAAGCCGGAGTAATGGGGGCGAGGATGGGAGAGCTCGTCTCTGGCTGCTGAGGCCCCGCCCCCCGCTCCGGTTTTGACTCCTGCCGTGTTACCAGGCCGGCTGGGGGTGTTTGCATGCTGTGCTTTCCCTGGTCTGCTGCTAGCTCCGCCTCTGGTTTCAAGGCCGCTGAGGGAACCAAAACCGGAGCGGGGAGGCAGTGGGAGAAGAGGACCCCGCCCCTCGCGGCTCCTCCCCATGCTCCGGTTTTGGCTCCATCGGCGGCCTTGAGACCAGAGGTGGAGCTAGCAGCAGACCAGGGATAGCACAGCATGCATACACCCCCAGCTGGCCTGGTAACACGGCAGGAGTTGAAGCTGGAGTGGGGGCAGGAGGGGCGGGGACCTCCACGGGGGGCGGGGCCTCAGCAGCCAGAGGTGAGCTCTCCCGGCCCCGCTGCTCTGGCTTTGGCTCCTGCGGCAGCTTGGATGGAGGGTGGAGGCGGAGCCAACTCCATGCTGGCGAGGGTGAAGACAGCCCAGTAGGCTACCACACTGCCAGCTTGGTAGCAAAGCCTGCCGCTTCTCCTCCTTGCCCCTCCCTCCCTCCCTCCACCCTCCTCTTCCTCAGGCTCCACCACGCAGGGATGCAAAGGGCGAGGGAGGCGAGGGAAAAATGATCCGGACTTTATACCGGGGTACAAGACGACTCCCCACTTTTGAGATGATTTTCCTGGCTTAGAAAGTCGTCTTGTACCCCAGAATATATGGTATATTAAATATAGTTATATATTACAATTATATACATATATATATATATATGTTATTTAAAATAAATAAAATGAATATTGTTTTATTGACTATTCTAAAGCCTTTTGACTGTGTGGATTATAATAAATTGTGGCAAGTTCTTGGTAGTAGGGGCATACCAAATCACCTTATCTCTCTCCTGAGGAATCTGTATTAGGACCAAGTAGCAACAGTAAGAACTGACCATGCAACAACAGACTGGTTCAAGATTGGGAAAGGCATACGGCAGGGCTGTATACTCTCCTCCAACCTATTCAACTTGTATGCAGAACACCTCATGCGATGTGCGGGGCTTGACGAATGCAAGGCTGGGGTGAAAATTGCTGGAAGAAACATTAGCAACCTTAGATATGCAGATGACACCGCTTTGATGGCCGAAAGTGAGGAGGAGCCAAGGAGCCTTTTAATCAAGGTGAAAGAAGAAAGCGCAAAAGCTGGGTTGCAGCTAAACATCAAAAAAACCAAGATTATGGCAACAATAATGATTGGCAACTGGGAAATAGGGGGAGAAAACATGGAGGCAGTGACAGACTTTGTATTTCTAGGTGCAAAGATTACTACAAACGCAGACTGCAGTCAGGAAATCAGAAGACGCTTACTTCTTGGGAGGAGAGCAATGTCCAATCTTGATAAAATAGTGAAGAGTAGAGACATCACACTGGCAACAAAGATCTGCATGATCAAAGCAATGGTATTTCCCATAATCACCTACGGATGTGAGCGCTGGACCTTAGGGAAGGCTGTGCGAAGGAAGATAGATACTGTGGTGTTGGAGGAAAATTCTGCGAGTGCCTTGGACTGTGAGAAGATCCAATCAGTCCATACTTCAAGAAATAAAGCCTGACTGCTAATTGGAGGGAAGAATAGTTGAGGCAAAGAAAGAAGAAAGGAAAGCTTAGAGAAGACAATGATGCTGGTGAAAATGGAAGGAAAAAGAAAGAGGACCCGACCAAGGGCAAGATGGATGGATGGTATCCTTAAAGTGACTGGATTGACCTTGAAGGAGCTGGGGGTAATGACGACCGACAGGGAGCTCTGGCGTGGGTTGGTCCATGAAGTCACAGAGTCGGAAACGACTGAACGAATGAACAACAGCAACAACCTAATTTTATAACTTTCCTGATTTGGTGTGCCCAGACCACCAAGAACTTGCCACAGTTTATTATGATTCACACAGTCAAGGGCTTTAGAATAGTCAATGAAGCAGAAATAGGTGTTTTTCTGAAATTCCCATCCTTGCTCCAATATCCAGCATCCGGATATTGGCCATTTGATCTCTGGTTGCTCTGCCTTTTCTGAACCCAGCTTGTCCATCTGGCAACTCTCTCCATGTCTTGCTAGAGTAGGGTTAGGCTTTCGGATACCTATATCTATTCCTAGAGATCCCTCAACCCCTGAGGATGCCTTTAGCCACAGATGTGGGTGAAACGTCAAGAGGACATGCTTCTGGAGCAGGGCCAGGCAGCCCTATGGAACGCTCGCCGCAGCCTCTCCGCTTGCAGCCTGGACTCAGCCTGCTTTGGCAGCAACAGGCCGAGGAGTCTCCCAAAGCCTAGTCAGGCCGAGCCTCTGAACTCAAGGCTGGCCAGATGCCTCAGGCCGGCCAAGGGGAGAGAGGCCTGGCTTCGGGACGGCTCTTTGCTTCACACCTCCCTGGAGGTGCTTCCTCTCGAGGCCAGATCCCTTCCTCGCTCGCGCCCGGCAACCTGCTTTCTCAGCTGCTCTTCCGCGTCCATTGTCGGCGCGAGGCATTTTGAGCGCAGAAGCCTCAAATGCCTGGGGGGCCAAAGGCGGGGCACCGCAGCAGCAGCAGCCACAGCCGGAGGGAGAAAAGAAGGCCCATGTCGAGGAAAGGCCCGCTTCCCCTTTAAACATACAAATGAACCCCACGGGAGGGAGGGCGGCCAATCAGGAACGCGGCCGCTCCGCAGAGGCCCCGCCCCTTAGCTTCTGCTCTGAAAGGAGGAAGAGAGGGCGGGGGCGAAGTCACCCAGTCTCCTTCCCCCCTCCGCAGCCGGCACCATTTTCGGAGGAAGAAGCGGGAGCAACAATGGAGGCGAGGAGGAGGAGGCCTGTTTGGGAGATGAGGGAAGGAAGGAAGGAGGAAATAAAAGGAATTTGAGTGAGGGAGAGGTGGAGGGAAGGGGTGGACAGGCGGGCGGGCGCGTGTCAGTAAAAATGGCTATGTGTTGACATACTGACGTACTGACATGCATGTCATAGGTTCGCCATCACGGGACTAAACCATATGTAAAGAAGCTATTTTACTGTTTGTTTTTCAGAATATCAGCCATGACACCAGAAAATTTCGCTTTGCCCTGCCAACTCCAGAACACATTTTAGGCCTTCCTGTTGGTATGTTTGTTTGTTTGTTTGTTTCATGAGAGAAATAAGTTCTTCTTACAGTCGAATGTCTACTTATTTAACCAGATGACTCTGAAGAGGGAAATAGAATGGAAATCCAAATTTTTGGGTTGAATTGTAAGTTTGAAGAGGAAAGAGTTTTGTAGTAGAGATACCAGCCAGATTTGGAAAGGAAAATATAAATCTAAAAAACTCAAACCTGTATTGGAGACCATTGAATAATTCTTATTCTCCCTGTGTATGTTTTCTAGGGGTCCTTCCACACAGCCATATAACCCAGAATATCAAGGCAGAAAATATCACAATATCTGCTTTGAACTGGGTTATCTGCGTTCACAGTGCCATATATTACAGTTCAGGGTGGGAAATGTGGGATTTTATTTATTTATTTATTTATTTTGCTTATATACCGCAGGTCTCAGCCCAGGGGCGACTCACTGCGGTGTACAACATAGCAAAAAACAAGGTGCAAAATATAAGACACAGTATAAAATAATCCACAATTCAACATTATCAGAAAACATCCTCACCTGTGTGGAAGGGCCTTAGATAATGACTACTTAAAATGTGAAACTGGGTGTCATTGTTAACAAATTTTAAATTTAGGTTGAATACAGTAGTGTTGTATTACTAATTGGTTTTATTTATTCATGCTATATTTTGTATTGGTTGAATTGTGGTTATTTTTCTTGTTTGTGTTTTGATCATCAAGAGCAGTCTACCCTCAAACTATGTCAATCAGATGCTTTGCGCTGCAACTCTCATCAGCCCTGGCAGATATGAGCAGTGGTGAGGAATTATGAGAATCCAAGTCTAAATTACTGTATTGACTAATTTAGCACAAAAACAGACAAGAGTTCTTTCTTTCTCCCACCCTGGACATTATTCCGGTTGGAAGGCAGACTACGTTGGATAATACAGAACATTGGATGAGCAAAGTTTGGTTAAACAAGACTCTACTGTAGCAGGATTAAATTTTTAAAATGAGCCAAAAACAAATCTAAAAAATTACTCTACAAATGGATAATATCTAATGAGGCCTAGCTGTTGGGTTGTCATCTTGGGAATGACTGAGGCTAAGGGGCTGTTAGTGAGCTAGCAGTAATAATTTGCAATTTTATACGCCAACCTTTCAAGTTTAATTTGTGGACTTTTTGTGGTTGCAGAGATACAATGATTTTAAATCAGGTCCATCTTTTGAAACACCCTGTATTTGTTGCGGAGTTGAGTGGAATAAAAGTAGCCGAGCCATTTGATTTCTCTTCATGCAGAAGAGATGCAAGACAGCAATCCTGAAAATCAGTTTGAAAGCAACTGGATAAGAATCAAAGGAACTGGGACTCAAAAAATTGTCGTTGTAGGCATCTACTACAGATCTCCAAGCCAGGAGGAAGAACTTGATAAAGTCTTCTGCCAACACTTGACCAAACAGGCACTGAGAAGAGATGTAGTAGTCATAGGCGATTTCAACTATCCCGATATTTGCTGGAAAACAAACTCAGCCAAGAGTACAAAGTCCAACAAATTCCTCGCTTGCCTTGCATTTCATGGTCCAGAAGGTAGAAGAGGCAACAAGGGGGTCGGCTACTCTTGATCTCATCCTAACAAATGCGTAGGACCTGATCGATGCGGTTGAAGTGGTCGGATCCTTAGGGGCAAGTGACCATGTGCTCCTGCAATTTGAGGTACAAAGGAAGGCCGAAACTAAGACAAGTCGAACCTGCATTTTGGACTTTAGGAGAGCTGGTATCCAAAAAATGAAGGAAACACTGAGCAGCATTCCGTGCACAGATACTAAAAAACAAGGGAGTTATGGATGGATGGGAGTTTCTCAAGAGTGAAATACTCAAGGTACAATTGCAAACAGAGCCAGCAAAGAAAAAAAATTAGGACAAGTGCAAAGAAACTAGAATGGATGTTCAAAAAACTTCTAACTGTGCTAAGACTCAAAAGAGACATGCACAAGAAGTGGAAAAAGGGAGATATCACCAAAGAAGAATTCAAACAAATAGCCAAGTCCTGTAGGAAAAAGGTCTGCAAGGCTAAAGCACAAAATGAGCTCAGGCTTGACATGGGACATTAAAAACAATAAAAAGGGCTTCTTTTTCTTATGTCAGTAGAAAAAGGAAGAAGAAGGAGGTGATAGGACCTCTTCGAGGAGATGGGGCAATGCTGACAGGCGATAGGGAAAAGGCAGAACTACTTAATGCCTTCTTTGCCTCAGTCTTCTCACAAAAAGAAAGTCATCTTCAACTTCAGCAAGATGGAATGGATGAGGGATTAGAGTACATCCAACTATACCCAAGAGTATTGAAGGAACTAGCGGAAGTCATTTCGGAACCATTGGCAACCGTCTTTGAGAGTTTTTGGAGAACAGGAGAAGTTCCAGCAGATTTGAGGAGGGCCAATGTGGTCCCAATCTTCAAGAAGGGAAAAAAGGATGACCCAAACAATTACCGTCCGGTCAGCCTCACATCGATACCAGGCAAGATTCTGCAAAAGATTGTCAAGGAAGTGGTCTGCAAACACTTAGAAACAAATGCGATCATCGCTAATAGTCAACATGGATTTATCAAAAACAAGTCATGCCAGACTAATCTGATCTCTTTTTTGATAGAGTTACAAGCTGGGTAGATGCGGGGAATGCCATGGATGTAGCATACCTTGATTTCAGTAAGGCCTTCAGCAAGGTCCCCCATGACCTTCTGGCAAACAAACTAGTCCAATGTGGGCTAGGCAAAACTACAGTGAGGTGGATCTGTAATTGGTTAAATGGACGAACCCAGAGGGTGCTCACCAATGCTTCCTCTTCACCCTGGAAAGAAGTGATTAGCAGCGTGCCGCAGGGTTCCGTCCTGGGCCTGGTTCTATTCAATATCTTGACTTAGATGAAGGGTTAGAAGGCATGATCATCAAGTTTGCAGATGACACCAAATTGGGAGGGATAGCCAATACTCCAGAGGACAGGAGCAGGATTCAAAACGATTTTGACAGATTAGAGAGATGGGCCAAAACTAACAAAATGAAGTTCAACAGTGACAAATGCAAGATACTCCACTTAGGCAGAAAAAACGTAATCATAGAATCATAGAATCAAAGAGTTGGAAGAGACCTCATGGGCCATCCAGTCCAACCCCCTGCCAAGAAGCAGGAATATTGCATTCAAATCACCCCTGACAGATGGCCATCCAGCCTCTACTTAAAAGCTTCCAAAGAAGGAGCCTCCACCACACTCCGGGGCAGAGAGTTCCACTGCTGAACGGCTCTCACAGTCAGGAAGTTCTTCCTCAGGTTCAGATGGAATCTCCTCTCTTGTAGTTTGAAGCCGTTGCTCCGCGTCCTAGTCTCCAAGGAAGCAGAAAACAAGCTTGCTCCCTCCTCCCTGTGGCTTCCTCTCACATAATGCAAAAGAGCAGTACGTGTGAAAAAGATCTTGGAGTCCTCGTGAACAACAAGTTAAACATGAGCCAACAATGTGATGTGGTGGCAAAGAAAAAAACCAAAAAAAAAAAAAAAACAATGGGATTTTGGCCTGCATCAATAGGAGCATAGTGTCTAGATCTAGGGACATATTGCTACCCCTTTATTCTTCCTTGGTTAGATCACACCTGGAATATTGTGTCCAATTCTGGGCCACAATTGAAGAGAGATATTGACAAGCTGGAATGTGTCCAGAGGAGGGCGACTAAAATGATCAAGGGTCTGGAGAACAAGCCCTATGAGGAGCGGCTTAAGGAGCTGGGCATGTTTAGTGAAGAGAAGGCTGAGAGGAGATATGATAGCCATGTATAAATATGTGAGAGGAAGCACAGGGAGGAACAATGGCTTCAAACTACAAGAAAGGAGATTCCATCTGAACATGAGGAAGAACTTCCTGACTGTGAGAGCTGTTCAGCAGTGGAACTCTCTGCCCCGGAGTGTGGTGGAGGCTCCTTCTTTGGAAGCTTTTAAACAGAGGCTGGATGGCCATCTGTCAGGGGTGCTTTGAATGCAATATTCCTGCTTCTTGGCAGGGGGTTGGACTGAATGGCCCATGAAGTCTCTTCCAACTCTATGATTCTACGTGCTGTAACTACAAATGTTTCAGTATTTGTTTTGTATACAGCACAGAATATTCTGTACACAGTTGCTCCAGATGCCCACATCTTTGGAAACTGCATGCATTTAAAAATTCTCAAAAGGCTTCTGAATATATTACTGCCCAGGGGTAGCTGTCTTCAAATCACAGATAACAGATTTTGTTGCGTTGCGTCTTCTAGACAACAAATACAGTTTGAAACTTTTTTCAAATCTGGATACACCATCTGTATCATTTGGTCATGATTTAAGCCTCCTAGCTTCAGCTTCTCATTATTTCTTTAGATTTTAGAAAGTAAATAATTGAACTTAGTTTATCCTAGTAAAAAAAAAAAATCTGCATGAACTGGATGGAAATGTTGAAATGACAGCTTGAAACATTAAAAGAGACAACCTTACAGAGGACAAGCCAGTATTTTGCCCATTTCTGTTTGTTTATTTATTTATTTATTTATTATTTGAACTTATATGCCTCCACTCCCCTGGGGCTCGGAGCGGCTTACAAGAATAGCTAAAATCTAACAAAATTTAAAAGCAGTTTAAAACAATTTAAAAACAACAATATCAAACATTAAAAGCCTGTTGAAACAGGTATGTCTTACATGCCCTGCGGAAAGCTGGCAAGTCCTGCAAGGCACGGACTTCAGGTGGCAGAGTATCCCAGAGTGATGGTGCCACTGCTGTGAAGGCTCTGCGTCTGGTTGCTGTTAGACGCAAGGTCTTGACACTGGTGACTTCCAATAGATCTTGGTCCTCAGAATGGAGGGATCTCTGGGGTTGGTAGGGGGTGAGGCGGTCCCTCAGGTACATCGGCCCCAGACCTTAAAGGTGAGTACCATCACTTTGAAAGTGATCCGGTGCTCAATTGGTAACCAATGCAGCTGTTATGTGGCATCTCATCTATGGCCACCTCTGAGGATGCTTGCCATAGATGCAGGTGAAACGTCAGGAGAAATGCCTCTAGAACATGGCCATATAGCCCGAAAAAACCCACAAGAACTTAGTGAAAATAATTTTTATTAGATTATTTAAATACTTTAACTATCCCTAAGTCTTTTAAGAAAGGTGGATAACTGTGTAATATTTTAAATAACTATAGAGGAGCATGTTTTAAACTTCAGTGTCTACATTTTTAATTAAATGTTAACCCTTTTGTCATTACTTTTAGGACAGCACATTTACCTTTCTACAAGGATTGATGGCAATCTGGTGATCAGACCTTACACACCTGTGACCAGCGATGATGATAAAGGCTATGTGGATCTTGTGGTGAAGGTAAAAGCTTCAAGCTTTAACTCTTTGGGAATTGTCCACTCCAGGGCGGTGGTGAGGAAACATGTTTGGAATTAAGACTGGTGACATGCACTGGCATAAACAAGGATTGCTATTTTTTATTTCTGGGAAATTGAAGAAAGATATATTTCCAGTACAGTATAACCCCTGCTATCCATGGGGGATGTGTTCCAAGGGGTCTGAAACAATGGATAACAGGGAACTTATATTTTAACTATATTTGGACTGGAAGCATACCTTAGAATAACACTGGTAGAGCTAGAAAGCACCACAAACTTCCTGTGAAAAAATTTTTTTGGATCTTGGGTAAGTGAAACTATAGCTATTGAGCCTGTTGATAAGAAGTCATACTGTATCTCTCCCCCCCCCCCCAAAAAAAAGGAAGGCAGCACCAAAGGACCAAAGTATGCTCTCACAGGGCCCTGAACCAAAACGTGCAGCAAGTTGGAGGGGTGACGCTCTTCTCCTACAGCTAGGCACTGTCATGATTCCTTTCCCTTCTCTATAGCTCTGAAATTGTCACGAGGCACTGGTGTTTGGAAGCTTTCTTTTATGAGTAACAAAGGGGACACGGCCGAAAAGTCATTGATAGGATATCACTTGGCAATTCCTGTAACCTCTTACTATTGGTGAAGCTGATGGGAACTGTAGTTGAAAATATCTGCCACTGGGGAGAGGATTCTTCATGCTGGCCCCAAGGCAACGGTGATCAAAAAGCTTTGGCTTTGTAGTGGTATTTGATTTTCTTTTGTTTCATGCTACTGCTCATTTGTTATTCAGGTTCCAAGAAGATGCTGTCACGTTCCAACATGAGTTAAGACTTGTTACCAAAGATTAACACAAGTTTTTAAAAGATATTTTGTTTTAATTTTAACAAGATTAAATACCATATTTACTCAAATCTAATGCAAATCTTTTTTGCCTTAATTGCTTTGCCAAAATTGAGATGCTTATAAGATCCGATGACCCATTACAATTGTGCATCAAAAGATACCTTTGCCCCTCCATCAGACTGAGACTAGCAAACTTGCCATCCTCTGCCTGATAGTGGAGCAGGGACTTCCCTCCCCATGTCTTTCTCCTCTGCTTCACAGCTAATCATGGTATTTGGTTTATTTCAGAACCTTGTATGTATGGGCTCCCCGATACAGCAGGTGATTTAGATCTATGAAGTCCTTGTGTAAGATAGACATGTTTCTTCTCATTGTAGTACTTCCACTGCACCTCACTTAAATAATCTGAATCTGCCACTTTGTAAACTTGTTTCACTTTAAAGGTATCCCCCTCTGCATCTTTGTCTTGTTTAAATAGATATATTTCAAAGGAGTCCACCCAAAATTCCCTGAAGGAGGAAAAATGTCACAGTACTTAGAGAGTCTAAAGACAGGGGACACTATTGATTTCCGTGGGCCCAGTGGATTGCTTGTCTATAAGGGGAAAGGTAAGATTATTTTTATATATGCCTATTAAAATGGGAAAACATATGCTTATTAAAATAGGAAAAGTACCTCATTCATCTGCTTCATCCTAAACTGGGAGACTATGAAAATTATACAGTACCTTTTGTTAAAAAAGTGCTGTATCTATGCCATAAATACTTTTTAAAACATTAAATAGGTTATTTTATTCCACTTTCAGTGAGACAGGTTGCATTTGAGAGAAAGAAGCAGACACGGACTCCAGTACTGGGTTTTATAATAATTATATTGGTTACATAGACAAAGGGGAATATTGCATCAACATTTACACATATACTCTAACATTCATTCATCAAGCATCCTTACCATTCTTCTTATTGAAGATGATCAGCTTCTTGAGAGGAGGCAGCTGTTCATAATGGTGTTCAGAAATGGTGTTCAGTTGGTCTGGCACACTCTTTCTGAGAGAGAAGGGTCCTTTTATGTAGTATTTTCTGTTGATGTGGTTCTGAAAGTTATAAATTACTGACTGTTGCAGCTCAGAATAGATTCACCTTGCTCAGAAGACCACAGCACACCAAAGCTGAAGGTTTTGTAGTTTATTGAAGAAAACAAAGTCTTTAACATAAAAGTAGAGTTTCAAACTGTTTAAACTGCTGAACTGTTTAAAATCTTAAAAGATGATGCTGTCAAGGTGATGCATGCCATATGCCAGCAAATATGGAAAACACAAGAATGGCCATCAGATTGGAAAAAATCAACTTATATCCCCATACCAAAAAAGGGAAATGTGAAAGACTGCTCAAACCTCCGTACAGTGGCCCTTATTTCTCATGCCAGTAAGGTAATGCTCAAGATCCTGCAAGGAAGACTCCAGCAATACATGGAGCGAGAGTTGCCAGATGTTCAAGCTGGGTTTAGAAAAGGCAGAGGAACGAGGGACCAGATTGCCAATATCCGCTGGATAATGGAGAAAGGCAGGGAGTTTCAGAAAAACATCTACTTCTGCTTCATTGACTATTCTAAAGCCTTTGACTGTGTGGATCATAATAAATTGTGGCAAGTTCTTGGTGGGATGGGCATCCCAAGCCACCTTGTCTCTCTCCTGAGGAATCTGTACAAGGACCAAGTAGTAACAGTAAGAACTGACCACGGAACAACAGACTGGTTCAAGATTGGGAAAGGCGTACGGCAAGGCTGCATACTCTCACCCAACCTTTTTAACTTGTATGCAGAACACATCATGCGATGTGCGGGGCTTGATGAATGCAAAGCTGGGTGAAAATTGCTGGAAGAAACATTAACAACCTTAGATATGCAGATGATACCACTTTGATGGCTGAAAGCGAGGAGGAGCTGAGGAGCCTTCTAATCAAGATGAAAGAAGAAAGTGCAAAAGCTGGGTTGCAGTTAAACATAAAAAAAACCAAGATTATGGCGACAAGAATGATTGATAACTGGGAAATGACCCAAACAACTACCGTCCGGTCAGCCTCACGTCGATACCTGGCAAGATTCTGGAAAAGATTGTTAAGGAAGCGGTCTGCAAACACTTAGAAACAAATGCAGTCATCGCTAATAGTCAACATGGATTTATCAAAAACAAGTCATGCCAGACTAATCTGATCTCTTTCTTCGATAGAGCTACAAGCTGGGTAGATGCGGGGAATGCCGTGGATGTAGCGTACCTGGATTTCAGTAAGGCCTTCGACAAGGTCCCCCATGACCTTCTGGCAAGGAAACTAGTCCAATGTGGGCTATGCAAAACTACGGTGAGGTGGATCTGTAATTGGTTAAGTGGACGAACACAGAGAGTGCTCACTAATGCTTCCTCTTCATCTTGGAAAGAAGTGACAAGTGGAGTGCCGCAGGGGTCCGTCCTGGGCCCGGTCCTGTTCAACATCTTTATTAATGACTTAGATGAAGGGCTAGAAGGCATGATCATCAGTTTGCAGACGACACCAAATTGGGAGGGATAGCCAATAGTCCAGAGGACAGGAGCAGAATTCAAAACGATCTTGACAGATTAGAGAGATGGGCCAAAACTATCAAAATGAAGTTCAACATTGACAAATGCAAGATACTCCACTTTGGCAGAAAAAATGAAATGCAAAGATACAGAATGGTGATGCCTGGCTCGAGAGCAGTACGTGTGAAAAAGATCTTGGAGTCCTCTTGGACAACAAGTTAAACATGAGCCAACAATGTGATGTGGCGGCAAAAAAAGCCAATGGGATTTTGGCCTGCATCAATAGGAGCATAGTGTCTAGATCTAAGGAAGTAATGCTACCCCTCTATTCTGCTTTGGTTAGACCACATCTGAAATATTGTGTCCAATTCTGGGCACCACAATTCAAGAGAGATATTGACAAGCTGGAATGTGTCCAGAGGAGGGCGACTAAAATGATCAAGGGTCTGGAGAACAAGCCCTATGAGGAGCGGCTTAGCTGGGCATGTTTAGCCTGAAGAAGAGAAGGCTGAGAGGAGATATGATAGCCATGTATAAATCTGTGAGAGGAAGCCACAGGGAGGAGGGAGCAAGCTTGTTTTCTGCTTCCTTGGAGACTAGGACGCGGAACAATGGCTTCAAACTACAAGAGAGGAGATTCCATCTGAACATTAGGAAGAACTTCCTGACTGTGAGAGCCGTTCAGCAGTGAACTCTCTGCCCCGGAGTGTGGTGGAGGCTCCTTCTTTGGAAGCTTTTACGCAGAGGCTGGATGCCATTTGTCAGGGGTGATTTGAATGCAATATTCCTGCTTCTTGGCAGGGGGTTGGACTGGATGGCCCATGAGGTCTCTTCCAACTCTTTGATTCTATAATTCTATGAATAGAGGGAGAAAATGTGGAGGCCCTGACAGACTTTGTATTTCTAGGCGCAAAGATTACTGCAGATGCAGACTGTGGCCAGGAAATCAGAAGACGCTTACTTCTTGGGAGGAGAGCAATGTCCAGTCTCGGTAAAATAGTAAAGAGTAGAGACATCACACTGGCAACAAAGATCCGCCTAGTCAAAGCCATGGTATTCCCTGTAGTCACCTACGGATGCGAGAGCTGGACCTTAGGGAAGGCTGAGCGAAGGAAGATTGATGCTTTTGAGCTGTGGTGTTGGAGGAAAGTGCTGAGAGTGCCTTGGACTGCGAGAAGATCCAACCAGTCCATCCTCCAGGAAATAAAGCCTCGACTGCTCATTGGAGGGAAGGATACTAGAGACAAAGTTGAAGTACTTTGGCCACATCATGAGGAGACAGGAAAGCTTAGAGAAGACAATGATGCTGGGGAAATGGAAGGAAAAGGAAGAGGGGCCGACCAAGGGCAAGGTGGATGGATGGCATCCTTGAAGTGACTGGATTGACCTTGAAGGAGCTGGGGGTGGTGACGGCCGACAGGGAGCTCTGGCGTGGACTGGTCCATGAGGTCACGAAGAGTCGAAGACGACTGAATGAATGAACAACACAGAGTTTCAAAAGTTTAGTGGCAAAAGCAGTGTCTTAAATGCAAAGACAAAGTTTCCAAAGTTCAGTGGCAAATAGCATGAAGCATAATCCAAAGGCATTGGTCAAACAAGAATCCATGGCAGCATGACAGAGGCCCAAGGAGCCAAGAACAAGACAAAGTCCCGAAAGCCAAGAGCATTGCCCAAAAGCCAAGGCAATCCAGAGAAGTTACCAGGCTGTTTGCAGAAGTTGCACTGACAAAGAGTTGACTTCAAACATCTCGTTTAATATACTTTCCCACCATAAACGCATTCCTTTGACCTATAACCTCTCTCTTGTTAGCAAGCCTCGCACTGCGGCGAACCCTGAATTGCAAGCGATCCTCCCTATCTAAATCTGCAGAGCCTTCAAGGTCGGATAGCTCATTACCCTGAGAATCGGCAGCCTGAGAATCGGCAGGCTGAGAGCTCACCTCCTCCATCTGCACCTGGGAAGTTTCACTAATATCAGAAACATCTTCCAAAACATCCCTTGCCATGGGAAACTGAAACTCCTCGTCTTCAGTATAATTTATTTATTTATTTATTATTTATTTGATACACTTGTATACCGCTAATATCTCAGCCTAGAACGGCGACTCATTGCGGTTTACAGCAGTTAAAACAATCTACAATTTAAAAACATATACACATATAATAACAAATTCAATAACAAATTATTGGGCCACCAATAATAATCCCATATATCTCGAGTTGAAATCGCAATCCAGAATTCGTTGTCCATGTTTCCTGTCCTTAGTCATCAATATTCGAATTGCCACAGATTAGCCGAATGCTTGTTTGAACAGCCATGTTTTGAGTCTCTTCCTAAACACCATCAGCGAAGAGGCTGATCGTACCTCTATAGGGAGGGTGTTCCAAAGCCGGGGGGCCACCACAGAGAAGGCCCTGTCTCTCGTTCCCGCCAGCCGCACTTCTGAAGCTGGAGGGATAGAGAGAAGGGACTCTCCAGAAGATCTTAGGGTCCTGGTGGGCTGATAGGCTGAGATACGTTCGGATAGATAAGTTGGGCCAGAACCGTTTAGGGCTTTAAAGGCCAACGCCAGCACTTTGAATTGAGCCCGGTAGCATATCGGCAGCCAGTGGAGCTGGTTCAGCAAGGGAGTTGTATGCTCCCTGCGCCCCGCTCCTGTTAGAATCATGGCTGCCGCCCGTTGGACTAACTGGAGCTTCCGGACTGTCTTCAAAGGCAACCCCACGTAGAGAGCGTTGCAGTAATCAAGGCGGGATGTAACCAGAGCGTGGACTACCGTGGCTAAGTCAGACTTCCCAAGGTACGGTCGCAGTTGGCGCACAAGTTTTAACTGTGCGAAGGCTCCCCTGGTCACTGCCGAAACCTGGGGTTCCAGGCTCAGCGATGAGTCCAGGATCACACCCAAACTGCGAACCTGCGTCTTCAGGGGGAGTGCGACCCCGTCTAACACAGGCTGTAACCCTATACCTGTTCGGCCTTACGACTAACCAGGAGTACCTCTGTCTTGTCTGGATTCAATTTCAATTTGTTCGCCCCCATCCAGACCGTCACAG